AAGATAAATTTATGTTGCATATTAGTCTAGCAAAAGACTTTAAAAATGTGCAATTTCAGAAACATCAAAGTAAAGGCAATTATCTTACAGAATAGCTAACCATATTTAAAAAGTAAGAACTCATAATAAGGAGCCATCAATTCTAGATATACCTGACATATAAGAAAGATTCTTTCAACAAAAACTATTATACTTGGTGCTCAGCACATGCTATTATAAAGTAAAACAACCAGATTACTCTGGAGTAAAATGGAAGTCCAGTTCCTCAATTCAACAGTTACTGATTGAAAACTCATCTTCTTACAACTAGACGGCCATAAACAAACATGAGGGAAAGTGATGCTTTTAAATTAATTAATTAATTAATTTCAAAAGTAGGAAAATCAATGTTACTCAGGGATTAGAAAATTCTGGTATTTCCATCATTATCCAAGGACAGCCAACAAAAAGAGTTCATCTTCCTAATAAGCTCCAAAAGGCAGATTCTTCTGCCCTGCAGAGTTAGAATTGAAGAACAAAATAAAATAATCCTTGGGTTTATAGAATATTTAAACAACTCAAAATGCGTTCAAAGTTATCAGCACATTTAATCTACAAACAACCCAATCAGATATGAAAGATTTATCTTCTAATTCAGTATTTCCCAAAGGATGTTCTATTGCACTGTGGTCCCTTCCCCACACTCTGAAAAGGAATTAGGTCAATATTTTCAGAGACACTGCATTCCATGCTGTATTTACCCTCTTAGGATATTAAAAGTTCAGAAAATTCCAGCAATTATACAAAGGTTTCTTTTGTCTTAACTCAGCAGTTCCCAAATTCTGGAACTCATTTCTCCTCAGAACACTTTGAGGACACCAAACTCTTGATTTTCTACTAACTCACTGGTCACTCCATAGTCTCCTACTAGGTCCTCTTCTTCTAGACCACCTAACTCTGAAGTGCCCCAGAGTTCAGTCTTTGTTTCTCTTTTTCCTCTCTATTCTCTCTCACTTGGTGACCACCTAGAGTCAAATGATTTTAAATACCAATGATACCTACGACTTAAATTCCTATCACCAGTCCAAATCATACTCCTGAACTTGTGGCCCAAATACCAAATGTTGACAATGACTTGTTTTGACAATGACTCGTTTTTTTAGAAAGACAAACTGAAGTCTTGCTCCTTCTCTTTAAAGCTGCTCTAGGTATATTCTTTCCATGCACTCAAAACAAGTTTTATTCACCTAGTTCTCCTGCTAAAAATGCTAAAATTATCCTTGACTATTCTCTCTCATACCTTACTTTAATCCATAGGAAATCCCCTGGGGTCAACCTTCAAAATATATCCAAAAGCAAAAGCCTTCTTGTTACTTCCCCTGCTATGACCATCGTTGCTCAAACTGTAATTTTCTATAATGTGGGTTACTGTAATAACCTCATTCTTCCATCCTTGTTCCCCTCAAGTAATTCTCCATATAGTTGCCACAGTAATCTATTTAAATAAAAAGTCAGAGCACATCATTCCCCTGCTACTACTCTCCAAGCCCGTGGCTCCACTTCACACAGAGAAGAGCCATAATCCTTAATTATGGTCCACAAAGCCCCAAGATCTGTTCCCCAATACTTCTCTAACCTCATTTCCTACAGTTTCACCTTCTCCTCCACTCAGACTTCCTTAACCACGCTTCAATTAGTCCAACACGCTCCTGCACTATGGCCCTTGCAACAGGTGCGCCCTCTGACCAAAATGCTTTTGCCCCAGAAATGAAGGGATTTAGTAGCTTCCTGTTACCAGTTTTTGTTCAAATGTCAATTTCCCAATGATGCTTATTCTGACTTAGATTTAAATTGTGTCCCAACCTCTGGGCACCCAACCCTCTACCCTGCTCTGTTTCTATTCCTTGGCATATACCATCTTCCAATGGAATACTTATTTATTAACTGCCACTCACCACAGATTGTGATCTTTAAGAGAGGGGTTTTTTAAATTAGTTTCATTCACTGACGTATCTCTATCATCTAGAAATGTGCCTGACACATAGTAGGTGCTCAATAAGTATTTCTTGAATGAATAATTATGCCCAGACAACAGAGAATTATTGTGTAATACTTAATAATCATCATTTTCCCCTTAGCATTTTAACCAAAATTAGACCTAGGTTTAAAAAAGACTACATTAGGAGGATGACTTCTCCTGATGAAGAGGATTATATCACCTGCCTCCACATTTTTTTTTAGATTTCAATAAATTAATAGATAGCCTTTCATTCTTACTGAACTATATAAACAAAATAAACAAGTGTAAAATCTCATTAATTGGCATCAATTTGGGGAATGCCCTATTGATTTATAAAATGCTATTTTATTACTTTAAACTATATAGTGTGGCATTCCATTGTAAATTCCTTAAAGACTTACTAAAGGCATTGCCTCAAGGAATAGAAAAGATATATTTATAATTAACATTTCATCTATTTAAAATAAATTGAATAAAATGAAATAAGTGACATAACTCTAAAAATTTATGAAGTGTTATTCACCATCATGTAAAAATGGGAACAAGAGAAAGTTTAAAAGTGCCAGAAAGCAGTTTGTTCTCCTAAGCTGTACTACATAATCTCTCTGAAACATTATTCATTCATTTATTGAAAAAATTTTTCTTCAATGCTATGAAAGACAACATCGCAAATGATCACAAGTTCCTAATGAAATAAGAATTGATGAACTGTTCCATTTTAACTTACAAAGTCTAGTTTTTAGTCATAGTTACCAAATGAGGATATGTTATCATCTAGTGACGTATCTTGTTTTGTCATAATAATAAAGCCAATATGGGTCATCTGCACATAGAATTAATTCAAATAAACTAGATAGCCAGTTCTAAAACTATCTGCCACTGAATCAAGGTATGAAGTAACCGATGCAACACCCACATGGAGATAAGGAAGTATTATAAACTACACTCAGGGTACAAAAGACATACCAGGTAAGGTTTTAAAAACCTAAGTAAAAGAAAACATTTCAGAAGTTCCTCTGAAAGAATACATATACCAGATAGTTGTCAAGAATCCAGAAGGGCCCGAGGTACATATAGGAAAATCCTTATTATCTGATATGATAGTAAAGGAGAGAATAGAAATACTTCATAATTAACAATGTAATATATGCCCTTTACAAAGATGGTGTCAAAAGCTAAGAAGGAAGCCTCTGCCCCTCCCAAAGTCGAAGCCAAAGCAAAGGCTTTGAAGGCCAAGAAAGCGGTGCTGAAAAGCGTCCACAGTCACACACAAAAAGATGATCTGCAGGTCACCTGCATCACCTATGTTCTGACAACCCAAGACTCTGTGTCCCTGAAGGCAGCCCGAGAGCGCCCCCAGGAGAAACAAGCTTGATCACTATGCCATCACCAAGTTAGCATGGCTACCGAGTCAGCCATGAAGAAAACAGAAACAACACACTTGTGTTCATTGTGGATGTCAAGGCCATCAAGCACCAGATCAAACAGGCTGTGAAGAAGCTCTACCACATTGATGTGGCCAAGTTCAACACCTTGATCAGGCCTGATGGAGAGAAGAAGGCATGTGTTTGACTGGTCCCTGACTATGATGCTTTGGATGGTGCCAACAAAATTGGGATCATCTAAATGGAGTCCAGCTGGCTAAATCTAATTTTTGTCATCATTAAAAAATATATATAATATACAGATTAGTATGGTTCAATTAATAACAAAAATGGGAATAACCACAATAATTTTTTGTTTATTTTTAAAGATTTTTATTTATTTATTTGACACAGAGAGAGAGAGAGATCACAAGTAGGCAGAGAGACAGGCAGAGAGAGAGGGGAAGCAGGCTTCCCGCAGAGCAGAGAGCCTGACGTGGGACTCGATCCCAGGACCCTGAGATCATGACCTGAGCTGAAGGCAGAGGCTTACTTAACCCACTGAGCCACCCAGGCGCCCCAATAACCACAATAATTTATACACTTCATATTCATTTCCACACTCATCACATTTTCAAATACTGCCTTTTTTTCCTACAGAGACATGTAAATATGTTTAACAATCAAATTGTACTATTTCCATAAGGTAAAAATGACTAAAATATCAGTTACAGCATCATTAACTATGATAGTTCTATTTATGGACTACATTCAGCTACTCACAGAAAAAGCCAAGGACAGAGCTCGGGTTTTTTCAAACTTGGCACTACTGATATTTTGGGTAGAATACTTTTTTGTTAGGAGTGTGAAGGCAGGGGCTGTTCCGTGCGTTACATGATGCTCAGAATCGTCAGTGGCGTCTACCCATCAGATCCTACTATAGTACCCACTAACTGTAACAACCAAAAATATCTGGAGATATTGCCAGATGTCCCCTGGAGAGCAAAACTGCTGCTTGGTGAGATCCACCAACTTAAGATAGAAGGAAGGAAGGAAAGAAGGAGGAAGGGAGAAAGGGAAGGGAAGAGGGAGGGAGAATAATCATACTAGGCATTCTTAAACGCTTAATGAAACTATATATAATGAATCTGAATTTCTAGTTGGTGGATTTGAATGTGTGTATTGTAGTTTAAGAATATTCACAAGAAAAAAGTCTATTTTTAAACAAAATCACGTTTGTAATATCAAACAATAAACATATAATCAATCTCAGATAAATAAGATTCTACTGTTCTTAAGAAGAAAATAATGAAAAATATTCTCCTTATTACTTCTATCTTAAGAATAACACCCTACCTTCCTGCTGTCTCCCAGCAATAAAAATATTGCAGTCTTTCATTCAGTTTTGAAGACAAGAGAAGAGTTTTTTCCTCTGACTCTACAGGTGGTTCCTGAAAGTGTTCTCCAGGTGACCTGAGGTGACTGACAAGTCTACTTTGCATTTACAGACAAGTTTAATAGGACCTGCATATTAACAAGAGTAATAATTTGTCATAGCAAAAGAATTCATTTTTGTATCCACTTATTACCTAGACAGTACGCTTTTAAGTTTCTCTTTTGATTACTTTTAGGCTTACCATAGATGTAACTGATCGTGCATCTTCTTCATAATTTACTACTGGAGGTGGCTCTTTCCCATCATTTTCTTGTACTTTTTGCTCTAGTAATTCTTTCTGTGCTGTGAACTTTGCCTCAGCGCATTTCAGCTGCTGGACTGACTGTTTCAGCTCTTCAAGTGTCTGCTTTTGGCTTAGTAGAAGCACAATACTGAAAGAGAACACATTAAGCATAAATTATTGCAACTTCTTTAAGAAATAAGATTTTAAAGGAAACTACATTGGCATATTATGCTTCTGTTTCATTTCCATCTTCATAACAGTCCTTCAGAATCATTTGAATTATAAAACTAAACAGCTTTCGAGTCATCACAATAGTTACTAAATGTTAGCATTAACCAAATGGAAGACCAAAAACAACAAAGTGGAAGAAAATATTTGGAAGCAAAAACCAAACTCAGGATGCTTTCAAATACAGTATCATCTATGGCATTCATTTTACTCTACAGTGAAGTCATCTACCTCACAGAGTACGGACACTTACGCTGAGAAGAGTGGAACCCAAAGTGAATTAATATGACTGAAGCAGAATCTCAATTTATTTCAAATCTCAAAAGGAATATAGTTGAACTCAGATTTATGCCTTGGGAAAAATAAATCAAATCAAGGTGACAACCTGGGAAAAAAGCTGTGTTTATGTTGCAAGGGGTATGTTTTTAGAGTTGGAGAAAACTGTTCTGACAGTTGACTTCCTCATTTCTTCTTTAGAGAACTACATAGGCCACATGTTGCCTTATTGTAAACTTCTATTCCCTGAGATCTGCCCTAAAAGGAATTTTAAACTAATTCACCCACATGAAAGCCATAAAAGGTAGTGGTGGCAAGGAACACCTTCTGGAAACACTGTCATACATGGTCTATTAATATCTTAAAGAACTGTGCTATGTACCATTGAAAATAGGTTATTAATATGTAAGCAACAATAGATTGTCAGTAGGGGAAAACTTCAAAACCAGAGAATAAGATCAGAAAATGTTACCTCCTTAAACTGAAACTTACATGGATCAATATTAATTGAATAAGTAATCATAGGCAGAAGGAATGCCCACTAAGACAGATTTGTTTATAAATATGATGTTGATCAACATTTTGAAAACTCAATTCCAATCAGATGGAGCAGGATGCAGCCTCAGTGAACGCTATAAGGAAAGCTATAATCTCCTCATTGTACTACAGTGAGTTCCAGGTGAGTATCTAACAAAATAAGAACTCATGTAGAGAACTGAGTGAAATTTGGGAAAAGGAGAACTAATGAGTAAGATTATTTTTACCAGAAACCTACCAATGTTCAAAAGACAAACCCCTTTAACCAGTAGAGTTCACAGCAAACGCAATGAAGAAGGATATACCATACTGTCAGAGCTCATTAACACTTTCCAAGTAAAATCATCATGGCATAATGGAAAGAGTGTAATTATACTGAATGAGAACAGATTCAACTTAATGACTTAATCACGTTGTTTTTCCCATCTTCAGTTTTAGCACTGGAAAAATTGATAATATACCAAATTGTCAGGGTTGTTCTGAATACAATGAAATAATACTTTAAAAATTGTTAACACAGTACCTACCATAAAGTAAGAATTCAGTAAATAGCAATTATTTCTGTCACCATCGTTCAAAAATCTGTGACCTATGTTCTAAATCCACACAGATTTCCTGATAAATTCATGCTGGTTTGCATATTAGATAGTAAGCCTTTTTTCATAAGAAATTGTTTATATATTTTTTTCTTTTTTTTTCTGAATTTTCTGAATCTTTTCAGAGAAAGTTGATTTTTTAAAACAACCATTTTTGTGAACATCAATTCATGAGGACTGGGTTCTGGAAAAGATTACACCCATTATGAACCTAAAGCTTCTTGAAGTTTCCTTCTTTGCATTACATAGCTACCAAAAGAATCACATGACAAGAAGATAAGGGACAATTCAAAATGTACAGGATAAGATGGTAAAAACACATATTCACGTACATGTGCAGGATGAGTCCAAAAAGAGGGTGAACGATTTCACAAATGTGGACCAATTAACAGGGAAGTACACTTGAAAATACTAACACTCTAAAACCATTACTGCTACCATTAGCTTTTTGTAAATAAATTTCATTAATATGGAAAAATGCAAAATAAAATAATGATAAAAGAATGAAAATAAACTACCAAATTAAAATATGGAATGACAAATAAGGAACAACAATTGCAAAAAAGTAAATACTAACTGAACAGCTGAAAAAATTCAAAGAAATACATTTACAGGAGTGAAACATATACATTTTATTATCTCTTCAACTGTACAGCAGGCCCCCAAAATGACAACATCCTTCACCCCAGAACCTGTGCATATGTTATCTTACAGAACAAAAGGGAGTTTTATAAGTTAAGGATGTTGGAATGAGGAAGTTATTTTAGAAGATTCAGGTGAGCCCAATATTAATAAGGATCTGATAAGAGAGAAGTAAAAGGGATGATGTTAGAGAAGGCAATGTGAAAAGAAAAAAAAGGGAAGGCGCTGTGATATGGGGCCAAGAGCCAAGAAATGAGGAAAGTATCTAAAAGCTGGAAAAACAGAAAAAGTAGACCCCCTCCAAAAGCCTTCAGAAGAAATTCGCCCCATCAACAACTTGCTTTTAGGTCCATAAGATTTATTTCCAACAACTAATTTCCAGAAATATGAGAGAATAAATTGGTGTTGTTTTAAGTTACCATACAAATCCTAAGAGAAATGATACCTATTTTTGGTCCATTTTAAATGGCTGAACTAGAAGGACTGTTATGATTGTGCAGTAGCCAGTAACAAACAGAATATAGACTTAGGAGAAAAATATTAAAGAGTCAGAAGTATTATTCAGTCAGGGAAAAAAAAATCAAAACCACTAACATGTAAAGATATTTGCATCCCTATGTTCACTGCAGCATTATTTACAACACTCAAGATATGGAAGCAATCTAAGTATCCATTATTAATGAATAAATAAAGATGATGTGGTGTGGTGTGTTGTGCATAAAGATAATTCATATATATAAAACACAAATATATTTAAATATGTAACATAAATCCACATTATGAAATATTACTTGGCCATTAAAAAAAAAAGAATGAAATCTTGCCACTTGTGACAATATGGATGGACCTAGAGGGTATTATGCTAAGTAAAATATCAGAGAAAAACAAATACCATATGATTTCACTTATATGTAGATTCTAAAAAACAAAACAGAAACAAACTCATAAACTGGTGATTGCCAGAGGGGAGAGGGAAAGGAGGATGGGCAAAATACACAAAGGGAATTAAGAAGTACAAACTTCTGGCTATAAAATGAGTAAGTCACAAAGATATAAAGTACAGCATAGGAAATATTAGTCAATAATATGATAACTTTGTGGTGAACAGTAATTAGATATATACTAGACAGTAACTAGATATATAGTGATCATTTTATAATGTATACAAATGTATACAAATCACTGTTTTACACATGAAACTAATATAATATTGTATAACAACTGTAGTTCAATAAAAATAATAAATTAAAAAATTAAAATATTTTAAGTCACATATAATATAGTTTAGAGAAAAGGCTCTTTTTTTTAAGATTTTTTTTTTATTTTATTACTTATTTGACAGACAGAGAGAGATCACAAGTAGGCAGAGAGGCAGGCAGAGAGAAAGGTGGGGAAGCAAGTTCCATGCTGAGCAGAGAACCCAATATGGGGCTCAATCCCAGGACCCTGAGATCATGACCTAAGCCGAAGGCTGAGGCTTATTAACCCACTGAGCCACCCAGGTGCCCCTATTTTTATTTTTTTTAAAGATTTTATTTATTTATTTGAGAGAGAGTGAGTGAGCAAGTGATGTGGGTGGGGCAGAAGGAGAGAGAGAACCAGGCTCCCCCCTGAGCCCAATGTGGGGTTCGATCTCAGTACCCTGAGATCATGACCTCAGCCAAAGGAAGATGCTTAACCAACTGAGCCAACCAGGGTCCCTTAAAAAGCTTTATTTTTAAACATGACTTCTCATGGCATTTACAATCTCTGTATTACTATTATTTCATCTTTATTTTACTCCAGATAATAAATGGGGTCTTCCAAAAGGATCAACATAAAAGAAAAAAGTTAGTATTTTCAACAAATGGAGCTGGCACAAGTGGGCATCCCAATGCAAAAAAATGAATAAAAAAACAGACCTTATACCATTCATAAACATTAACTCAAAATGGATTACAGACTTAAATGCAAAACATAAACTACAAAACTCCTAGACAATACATAGGAGAAAACCTAGATGGCCTTGGGTATGGTGATAGGTTTTTAGATACAACCCTAAAGGTACAATCTGTGAAAGAAATATTCGATGAAATAGAATGTACCAAAATTTAAAACTTTTGCTCTCTGAAAGACAATGTCAAGAGAACAATAAGATAAGCCACACACTGGGAGAAAAACACACATCCGACAAAGGACTGTTACCCAAAGTATACGAAGATCTCTTAAACGTCAACAAGAAGAAAAACAACCTGATTTTAAAATAGTTAAAGACCGGGGCACCTGGGTGGCTCAGTGGGTTAAGCCACTGCCTTCGGCTGGGGTCATGGTCTCAGGGTCCTGGGATCGAGTCCTGCATCGGGCTCTCTGCTCAGCGGGGAGCCTGCTTCCCTCTCTCTCTCTCTCTGCCTGCCTCTCCATCTACTTGTGATCTCTGTCTGTCAAATAAATAAATAAAATCTTTAAAAAAATAAATAAATAAATAAATAAATAAAAATAAAATAGTTAAAGACCTTAACAGACATTTTACCAAAGGAGACATACTTATGTAAAATAAGTACATGAAAAGATGCCCCATATCATATGTCTTCAGTGAAATGCAAATTAAAACACCAATGAGATAGCATGACGCACTTATGAGATGGTCAAACTCCAGAATACTGACATCAAAAGCCGACAAGTATGTGAAGCAACAGGACCTCTCATTCATTGCTGGTGGGAATACAAAATGGTCCACCTACTTTACAAGACAGTTTGGCAATTACTTATAAAAAATAATAGAAATACTCTTACCATAAGATCGAACAATCACACTCCTTAGTATTTGGTCAAAGGAATTAAAGGCTTATGTCCATACAAACGCCTGCACACAGATGTTGATATAATAGCT